TATGTATGTCCCTAAACTTACCACTGACCCACCAGGGATCCTCGCTTTAGTAATATATATCTCTCTAACTTAAATAAAAAATATTTTACTTTCCAGGTAAAAACGTTTTACTGCTCTTAGTGAAAATTTTTCATCTTCATATATTTACATTTCACATTCTTACTTGTTTATTTGTTATTTTACAGTAACGATACATTGAGCTATCTGTTGTGTCGACTGAGGGTAATTGAGCCCCGGATTTTAGCGTTGTAAGTTCCTAAACTTAATGCTGTTCCACCAGGTAACTTAAACTCTTATTAACGACATTTAGTATTTTATTAATAAAACACTTCTCTTTCTAGCTACAGTAACACTTCACCTATTGGCTTAAATAACAATAACGTTTTTGTTTATTTATAACAAGCAAAAGTACCCGTCCCCAGTGACGGAAACAATTTTAGTTAATCTATGAATTTAAATTATTTCATAAACTTTAGAAAGGTCAATTGTTTGCACTCTTGGTTTCACTCAGAATCAAAGTTCTGAGCTAATTGTATCGCTCACCGCAAAAAGTAATTGTTGAGCATTTCAGTCACGCTCAACAATAACATACGGTAAATCTACATTTTTATTCTTTAAGTTACGTGACATTTTGAAATGTGATGATAGTGTGATTAATTACTAACCATTTAGTGTAGAATATCCTGCCTGCGTAATAATATTTGGCATCAACATTATTCATGCCTGTTTTTTCTTCATTTCAAAAGTGAATGTTGAGCTTTGCCTGCTTGTGCAGCTTTTCCAATGGGAAACAGAAGAACGCTAGGACAAACACCACGGTTAATAAAACATAATTTAACAAGAGCAACGTTTTATAAAGTTTTGTTGGAAAAACTGTTGCACTTACTAGCTTGAGCAACATTTGACCTATTAAGAAAGTGATATTTCAGTGTCCAATAGAACAGCATTTTACTTTATAACATATCTATATTCAGTTGTTAGAAAGTATTTAATTCGATAGCTAAAGCAACTTTTGAGGTTCAGTTAAACCATGCACGTAATCTCAAAAGGTACTAATTTTCTCACTTTCTGTAAATATAGAATACTTAATTATCTAGGAAGAAAAATAATTTTGTTTTGCTTTCTCAACTATATAACGTAATTCTCGATAGGGCAGTCATATTGTTTTTCTCTCTACAAAACTATAGAGCATTTACAATTAGCGTATGACGGCCTCTCTTATAATAATTCTATACACTAGCACTGTCCAATTGGCGGCTCACAGCCATGTTTCGTCCGGAACTCTGAGTTAAATTTTAAGCTTCTAAAATAAAACACATCATTTATTTCACATATTAAAGAGGCAAAATTTATCCTAATATTACTCTCATATCTCCCATTCTGTTATATGATGCGACAACTCTAGAACGTTGAATCTGCTAGAAGTATAGAAACAAGGATTCCAGATTATCGATTAGTAATCTGACCTTCGAGTGAATTTTTCAGCTACCATTCGTTCCCCCCACACACACATACATATACTATTTTCAATTTGAATATGTGTATATATGTTTTTGAACTAGTAGAAGTTGATTGTCGCTTTTATGATGCACCCACGTAGCCAGAATGTGGAGAACGATGTGTTTGTTTTTTATTACAGTTACTCACCCACGTAACCAGAATGTGGAGGACGATGTATTTGTTTTTTATTACAGTAACTCAACCTCGTATCTACAATCCACCACACTATACACAAGGCAACGACAGATTTATCTGTAAATATTTTGTTTTTCACAACAAGGAAGCTTACCTGCCAATTTTAACAATAATACAAACATCACTTACATAAACATGGTTCCATTTTTTAACAATACGTATTTTGTAGTTATTTTATATTAAATGTGTATATTACTGTTTAGTTATTTCGTCATTATCTTACGAAACTAGCAAGTAAAACTCTACAACACCAAGCGCCTGTCTCACTGGCGGGAACAAAATATTGGAATGTTTTCGAGTTGCCAGGCTACCATATCCATTCATAAACCAGGATACAGTTTTCATTGTAGTAGTAATGAATGTCGAATGGATATTTAAAGGCTACAACACGTAAACCGTTTGGCCTAGATCAGAGAAAGTCATAAGTGGACACGTCATTGTGACTAAAAGCCTGTTCAACAAAGGTCTGCTTTGGAAGTAAGAAATGTGTGATATTTTCAAGATCTACAAGCCTCTCTAATTACATTCATGTTGTAAATGGTGCTTTAGGAAAGAGTGTCACTATTTAATAACTTAATTTTTTGTAACATTAAGCTGGGCGCAGGCTGGTTCCATAGTAAAGTTCTAGATTTCGGAGCTGGAGAGCCAGGTCCAAATCCCTGCTATATCACAAAATATCCCCCTTACTTAAGCTATGGGTGCGTTATAAGAATAAGAGTAAATCCCTTAGCGTGAATGGTGGATGGTAGGATGCTGCTGACTGGTTGTCTCCTCTCCGGCCAGTAGTTCAAAATTAGGGCCGGTATCAGATAGCCTTAGTAGCTGTTATATAAATACAAATATACATACTATTCGATACAAAGCTACAGAATGGGCTACTCGGTACATATAATGATTTTTCATTGCAAAAAATGCATTTAAATAATATTCAGCATTTAGGATGAAAAAGCATAATTGTGGCAGGTAGATATATTTACTCACGATTTAAGAGGTTCTTTAAATTAAACTGTAAGCATGGCTTTTTTAAGAATAAGCAAGTTTAGCCTTGAGGATAAAACCACTATTTAGCAACTACTTGTAGGCACTTCGTGTTGTGATTTAAGGAGAAAAAAATTGCTTTTTTCTTAAACTTTAAAGCCCTGAAACAGCTAAGTATTACGATTTTTGTGACCGGGTAGATATCACACTGTCACAACTTTGTTATTGTTTCATATTTGTGAATAATTATTGTTTCTTTTGGAAGAACGGGGTAACCGTTCCTAGGTGGGCCAGCGGTAAGTCTACGGACATACAATACTAAAATCCGGGGTTCGATTTCCTGCGGTAGACACAGCAGATAGTTCAATATGGCTTTTGAAGGAAGTTATAACAATATATATATGTATTATTTCTTGTTCTTGTTTAAGTGCAGTTCCAATTTGTCGAACTAGGATTTACGGATTAAATGTGTTGTTTTCAAAGCTTAATATTTGATTTTTTTATTCGTCTTCCACAGATGTTTTATTTTGATATTTGCCCTTTATTCGACAATCTTTTAAAGCGTTGAGGTGTTTCAGGAATTTGAATTTTCAACCTAAACAGCACCTTATACGGGTGCAGTTTAAGTGGCCAGGTCAGAGTCCCCTAGGATATAGAAATAGCCGTCCCTAATTTTCAAGTACTGACTAGAAGGAGAAGGTAGTCAACCTGTAGCACCCACCGCCACAAGAGATTTGTCCGGTTTGTTAATCGAATAACAGGATAGACTGTCACTTTTATACGCGCCCACAATTCAATGTGATCAGTAGCATCACATCTCGAACCTCAGCTCTTTCGATGCACATCCCGACACGCTAACCACTAGGCCCACGTAGTTCTTAGTATTTCAGAAAACCGGTATTGTAAGCTACTTTCAAAAACATGTTACATCCTTCACCGAGACAGCGGTAAGTCTATGGATCCATAACGCAAAAATCCGGGGCTCGATTCCTTGCGGTGGACACAACAGATAGCCCAATATGGCTTTGCTTAAACACACAAAAAACACATTGTTGCAAGTTATTGCTTTAACATTAAATGCGTATGAAAATATTATAAAATTTATCAATGTGTTTGATGTTTTGTTTTTAATATTAGTTCATTCATATATAAAGTTTGGGCAACCAGTTAAATGAAAGAAAACATCCTTATAAAAGATCACATAATGATGATATTTTGTTTAGGATACATTTTAGCCAAATCAGTTTACCATGCTGTAACCCTGGTAGAAAAAAAAAACATCTTAATAATTCCAAAACATTAAAATTGATCAATAAACTTAAATTTTATACATTCTCAGAAATACCATAATAAAAAAATTCCCAAATAAGAAACTCACAAACTTAAAATTTAATATGATATAAATCAATTTCATTTTAATTCATTTTTCGTTTACAATTTAAATGAACTAATTGCATTAGGTATTATTTTAGAAATTTCTGATCTTGTTCATATTACTTAAAACGTAAACAGCTGGTAATCATATCGATATGATAATGTGTATCGGAAATAAATAAGAAGCTCAATATCTCTTATTTCTTGTATCTATCACTTTAATAGATATAAGTCTATTCTTTTTCCCTACATTTCAAAGTTAGATGACATATAAGGCTATTGATCATTTTTCTTTATTGTTTTTGTATTTTACAATACAGTTATGCCAAAACTGTAATTTACTGTGCGGTATCGTATTAACATTCATTAAATGAAACTGACAATAAATTTTCAAATTGATCAGAATATTTATGTATTTCTACTGTTATTTGGCTTAGTAAGTGGTTTATTTCATAATGTAGCTTATGTCAAAAATATCGAGAAAGAAATATTTTGTAATACATGATGACAACATTTTATTTCTGCTTTTTACTATAGATACTCATTTCAAACAAGTAAGTCATTTTTCTTAACTTACGAACATGTTTCAATACAGCCTGTTCTATTGCGATATTTTACAGGAATAAAATTTTCGTTGAACCTTTTTTGAAATTTTCTAGTGCACAGTCAGCCATCTCATACTTGCTTGTGTTAGTCCTTTCACATATACACCTAGTATTACGAGATGTTTTGAAACGGCTAAGTACGTGACTCTGAAATGCACAACAAAGCGCAACACGTCATTTATCAAAAGCGGTAGTTAAGTAGGCTCACACAGGCCACAGAACTATTTAGGCTAGCAGTGAACTGGGTCATTGGCTCGCAATGAACTTGACTGCTCTTCAGGGCATCCGTACCTCCTGGAAACATCAATTGGTCTGTCCTACCGAACTGTTAGTTCCGGAAAGTTTGAAAACTCCAAAAATATCAGTTTGCTTTTTATATTTACAGTATTCTAAAGTAGTGAAATGGATTAATGTCGGTAAACTACTCACAGAGCGCGCTGCGAACAGTAAGCACGTTGTCATCGAGCCGAAGGAGGTACAGGTAAGAGAACAAGGTTACTTGCCGAACTGGGTCTAGAGCACTGTTCGCCATTTAGGTCAGAAGCTGGGAGTATTTAAACCTGTGTTAGAAGTGAAGAAGCTAAGTCAGCTTCTAGAAATCGTAACGTACACTTGTTTAGTGGAAGTTTTTCTGTAGTATTACCTGCACTGTGTTTTGCCTGGTGAGTTTAAAACTGCTCATTGTACAGTTAGATAATACCACATTTTTTTTATTCAGCCCATTTGGAGTAGTAGTAGTATTTACTAATATAAATATACGATAGGTAACAAAGTTTTAATACATAAACGTTCTCTTTTAATAATTGTTACAGGGTAAACACAAAACAAAGATGAAATTGTGCAAGCAACTTTCAAATGGACTATCTACCTATTTTTCATCTCTTTTAGAACATTGTAATATTACCTAAGTCGTATTGAATAAGGTATTCAAAGGAATTAAAATAAGATTAAATATTTGTTTATTCTCTTTGCTGAATTTCACATTTTCCTGATATTTCTAGGTCTAGAGGCCCAACTAGCCTTTCTGCAACATGAAGGCTAGACCGATACATTGCTTGTTAATCCAGACCCTGGTCGGATTAGTTCTTATATGCACAGTACAAGGTGATGGACACGGCTGGAAAAAACCGCTTAAGACTGTATATAAGACAATTAAAGTGCCTCACCCTGTGCCTTTTCCTCACCCTGTTCCCATCCATAAACCTGTTGCTGTTCCACATATTATTCACATCCCTCACAAGGTCCCCATTCCTGTAAAAGTACCTGTCGTGAAAACAATTCCTAAGATTGTACCAGTAGCTAAGCCAATCCCCATTCCTAAGCTGGTGGCAATAGGAAAGCCAATACCGATTGGACTTCCTGTGCCTGTGCTTAAAATCCATCCTGTGCCCATTGTAAAGACTGTCTCTGTCCCTAAGCATGTCCCTGTTCCACACCCAATAAAAGTTCCACACTATGTGCCTGTACCAATTCACAAAGTCATCAAGATCCCTAAACCTTTCAAAGTACCAGTTAAAGTTCCTGTCTACAAATATATCATTGTGAAGAAGCCTGTAGAAGTCCCTGTTCCGTAAGTATACTTACATAGCTATAGTTACGTATAAATAATATTTATATAGTTACCTAATATTATGTTGACTGCGGTCAAAAATTCGTTGATGCATATTATTTTATGTGAAATAATACAAAACTTTCATTTTCAAAATAATAAACCGTTGCAGATACAGAATAGTAAAATCTAAAACTTGTTTAAAATGATTCAAGCAAATCAAATTAATTGCCAACGTTTCCGCCAAAAATGTTTTTCTTCCTGGGTGATTACATTTTAATGCAAATCATATTTTGTTCCTTTTTTAGAGTGTACATCAAGAAACCATCTTATGGTCATGGTGGAGGGCACGGAGGTGGAGGATATGGAGGAGGTGGTGGGCACGGAGGTGGAGGATATGGAGGAGGTGGTGGTCATGGCGGTGGAGGATATGGAGGAGGTGGTGGCCATGGCGGTGGAGGATATGGAGGAGGTGGTGGCCATGGCGGTGGTGGAGGTTTTGGAGGAGGCCATGGTGGTGGAGGGTATGATTTAAGTTATGGTGGAGGAGGACATGGAGGTGGTGGATATGGCGGTGGAGGAGGACATGGAGGTGGTGGATATGGTGGTGGAGGAGGACATGGAGGTGGTGGATATGGCGGTGGAGGAGGACATGGAGGTGGTGGATATGGTGGGGGAGGAGGACATGGAGGCGGTGGAGGAGGAGGATATGGTGGTGGAGGAGGACATGGAGGTGGGGGATATGGTGGTAGTGGAGGCTTTGGTGGAGGGGGTCACGGTGGAGGAGGCTATGGTGGTGGTTGGGATTGACATTATTTTGATCTTTGACGTCAGAAAAAATGTGAACTGTAATCGTTAACAATGCTGGTTTGATTAACGGCTGCGCCATCAACCAGGTTATGTTGGCTCAAAACACAATAGTCTGCGACTCGTAGTCTCATCCTCCTGACAACAACAAAACAAATGTATATATTTTTATGTGATTGTGTTGTCTTTTATTGTATTTTAACTCAACGTCAATGGGATTGATTCCCACATTTTTTTGACATTAAGTATTTTAACATAATATTAACTTATGTATATATCTCATTCTTTCAACGACTGAGGAACTTGAGTTTTCAAGTGGAATTGTAAGCAACTTATTTTTGTAAAATTATCATACCTCATTAGTAAAACGATGGTAGATGATTTATAAAAGTCGTAATTTTATTTGTCTTAGATTACCTTGTAAGCATTAATAGTGTGAATAAAGGAAATTTGACGTATTTATTGTTGTTTGTTTGTGTTTTTCAACTGCACGTAACGTTTCTTCGTTCCTGCTAAAACTAAAGATTTCCATAAAAGGTTGACGTACTATCGCGTGTAATGTGTGCAATAAGATTGCGTTTTATTAATTATTCTAAAGATACATTACTTAATGTTAACTTCTTTATATTCTACATCTCACCAAGAGAATAACGCAAACTAATAGTTTCATATTTTTGATTTTAAAACACTTATTTAAAACATGATAGTAATGGTAAGTCTTAGATTCTGAAGCAAAGACAAGCTCATAAAAGACAAAAACAAATATTAAATATATCTGTGTTGTAATAACCAGTTATTGTACCTAGTTTTATATTTTGTTACACTACATTGTGTGCGTATTTTGATAGCAACTTTATTTATATACCGCATCACAAGTTATTTATATGTTTACCTTAAACAGTTTCTCGGTTCACAATGGTTAGCAAAAGTTAAGCTTTTAATTAAAATATTCTGAAGCAACACTTGTAGAAAATGTATCTATTATAGGTCCGTTTCTCGACAAAATGTACATTTCATACACGATCATGCTAAATAGGTGACACATAAAACCTGTATATTTTCAAAACATAGTAAATACGATCCAATTTTAGTAAGATTATAATAATTTGAATGAACATGCGCGTTCATTGCATTTATCTCCGCTGTAAAGTTCGGTAAAAGATACATTTTATTTTTGACTTTTAATATTAAGAAGAAAAAGTTCAAAATCATTTCGGTCATATACTCTGATCTACAGAATACTATAATTGTCTAAGTATTCAGAATGATGAACAAAAAAACTGGAATTAGTTCAACCCTTATTTACGTTATAGACTGTTGTAACAAAAATTATAATAGGCTTACTTGGTTCTACCACCCACGTCTTGGTGAATCGCTGATAAAGCTGAGGGCTTCCTACGCTAAAGTGTGGGTTGTGATACCCGCGGTGGGCAGAGCAAAGACAGCGTATTATGTAACTTTATGATTAACAATAAACAAACAGGTATTTTCTTATTAAATTAGATATCAAGACATTGGAACTAGAAATAAGCTCATGAAATCTACTTGTCTAGAGGTTTTGATCTCTAACTTCAGATAAAGTTTGTTTGTTTGTAATTAAGCACAGAGCTACACAATGGGCTATCTGTGCTCTGCCCACCACGGGTATCGAAACCCAGATTCTAGCGTTGTAAGTCCGCAGACATACCGCTGTGCCATTGGGGTGTTACTTCAGATAAATATTAAAATTTGTTTGTTTTAACGCAAAGCTACACGATAGGATATCTGTGTTCTGTCCACCAGAGGGAATCGAAACCCGAATTTTAACTTTGTAAGTCATTATACTTACTGCTCACTCACTGGGCGACAAGTATTAAAAGAATGACACTGTGTAATCAAGAATACATCTTTAAAAGAAAAAAACATAAAATGAGAAAATAAATTTTCTGAAAGCAATGGATTAAAGACTAGATGATGTATTTTTCAGATGTTTAAAACACTTTATGCTTGATTTACAGAAAAAGTCTTTTTTTTTTTCATGAATACGACATATAACCCAGAATACTTATGAAATCGGTATTATCGTCAGGCTTGTGTACCATGAATTAAAAAATTCAAGTTGTATAATATTTTGAAACAGAAAACAAAGTCTTATCAAAGAACAACCTAATCCAAGGTATTGACATTCATTTTAATTTTTATTTAAATTAGAGTACAATACCAAAACTTATTATGGTAAAAGGCGGAATAACATATATTTTTGTTTGTTACTCTACGAGAGTAATTGTTACATCAGAATCGGTTTCGACTTATTACAAAGTAGTCGAACAGGACTAGTTCTATTAAAATGATCAAAACGTTAACATTATAGCTTAAGCTAATAAACTTTTACACTTTTAAATTTTGAATACATTCACATAAATCCAAGATAGAAAAGGGGGCGTTAATAGGAGTGATTAATAAGATTATGCATTTTCCAGGATTACTTTCCGTTATAAAAATGGATTTCTTGAAACTGAAATAAAAGGTCTTTGGAAAATTCTTGAATGAAAGTTTTAGAAATTTAAGAAGTTGCAATGAATTACCGTTGTATAGGAAACAAATCTGCTGAAAATTAAAGTTTTTATACACCAAAACATACGTTGTTATGAAGGATATATTATTAATTCCCGATATCTTCTAAAAAATTTATAAGGGAAGCGCTGCTTATTCCGGCGTCTCCTAAAATCACGTCGTCTAGAAATAACTCTAGAATATTGACTTGTATGTTCTGAAGTTGTACAGTCTCATCTCTAGGAGTTGGATTAGACCTTCAGTATACTCTGCACATTTCGAAAGGTCAAGAATGTTTTGGCTATTACTGACAATTAATTAATACTAAAATTGTTTTCGTTGAATAAGGGATGATAAACATAGGTATTAATTTCATTTTATTGAACTTTGGTAAGTATTTAAGCTCTAAACTTCAAGAAAGATTTTGAGCTTTGAAATTTATTTTTTTTTTTTTGCATATAACCCTCGGTCTATATTGTATGTGATACAAATATTTGTTTAATTCAACCTATGTGCTTGGATACCATTTTATCACTATAATTGGGCCGTAAAAAGTGTTCTGCCGTTAAAGAAGTTGTATAAAAGAACAACTAAAACAGGATTAATAATGCGCAAAAGGACGTGTGTTGTTGTTTCTTACAATTCTATTTTTTGATGCTCTTCTACATAAGAATATGGTTATAACATTTTGTAATTTCAAACGCTCCTGTGAAATTTTCCCGTAACGAAAAGGTTCAAATTTAACTTAGCTGTAACAGAAGTCTCTAAGTTTACATTGTTTACAAAAAAAAGTAATTTTTATTTTTCCTTTGCATTTATAATTGAGTAATATGAAGTTGAGAATACAAAATTAACAGAAAATTAAAAGCAAGAAAAAGAAAGACAATTTTCATTCAAATGAAACAATCAGTCCAATATGTAAGAAATAAATAGAAGTTCCATATCATATTTGCATTCTTTGAAACTATCAAACTATTTCTTATTTTTACACCCTGGGAATTTTGACGAGTACTAAACCTGTTACATCACAGTAGTTGTTTATAATTAGTCATGTAGACATAGTTTAGATTCAAATATGAGTTATCCTATATGATTACCGATGACAAATTTAAAATATTTTATCGAACACTTTTCCTAAAGCTATCATAATCAGTTGCTATGCTTCATACGATATTCACGTTTTGTTTTAGTATTTCTTTCCTTATTCAACATATTAATGAAGTCATTCCATGGTTCAATTGTGTAAAAATCTAGGTCAACATGCATTTTTGTGACGCCTATTAAATGTTGAAATTAAACATGTTTAGCTGCCGTGCAGACAAGTCCTTTTATATATCCTGAAGCTACTTAACCACAGGTAAAAAATTGAATTTCAGAATTATTCTAAGCTCGTTAAACATGTCACGGTACTGAAGTGAAAATAGTTTTCTTAAAAAACAAACATCATAATTTATACGAATTTTTTGAAATATGGAAGACTCTTACCAAGTTTATTAAACTAGAAAACTTTCAAGTTGCACTGCCATATAAGTTGTGTATTAATTCATTTCCTACCACATTTAAAATAAAAATATCAACAATGTACTCACTATATTGAATACGGTATTTGATGTACGTTCAAGTTTTCTTAGTTTTAGAAGCAATCACCTTATTATCTATACAAAATAAAATACCTAGTGTATCTGTGGCCCAGCAACAAGCTTATGACATTAGAATTTGGGGTTCGATCCTCGCGGCGGACTCAGCTCCAAGAGTACGTTGTATGGCTTTGTGCTAGAACAAAAACAAGCAAAATATTTAAATGACACGCACATTTTTAATTTTATAATCTCAGTATTGAGCATTATAAAATATGAATTGTATCTGATATATCACGATTTCAAAGATTTCACAAAGTTTGCACGATACCATTTTCAAAGATCACATTTATTCTAAGAAAAATCTTTAAAATAAACACTTATGAGGTAATTCATCGAAACACAGTTTCCAAAGCTGATTTATAGTGCGATTTTCTGTTCTATTGTTTCAACCTGTTTACATGTTTGATTCTCAAAGGTTTTAATAAGATTAGTTGCATAATGAAATTCAATATGAATTACTTTTTACATGTAATAAGAGAAACATATACAGCTTTTCCAAGATATATAATCACGCAGATCTGTTCTTTTTTTTTAACCAGGAAATTATTTAACATAATAAATATTTTGCTTTAAATAAAATGAAATTGAGATGAAAAGAGCACAAGAGAGTATGCTTATGTAGTCGGAAGTAAATTTCTAAGATATTTTTTATGATAAATTAGACTTAAGATGCATTTACCAAGGCATTATCAAGGCTACAAAACAAAATAAAGGCTTATTTCAAGAAGCCCCCAGTGGCACAGCGGTATGTCTGCGAACTTATAACGCTGGAATTCGCGTTTCGATACCCGTGGTGGGCAGAGCACAGATAGCCCATTTTGTAGCTTTGTGCTTAATTAAAAACAACCATACACTAGCGTAAACTTCAATCCTAATAAAACATTAGATCATTATTTTAAAAAAAAATTACATAAAAGAGAATTAACAAAGATTTTCACAATATTTGTTCAAATCGTTG